TGGCTCAGGTGAGTCTGAGGAGCAGTCAGACCTCAGCACAGCAGAGGCAGATAAAGGTGAGGAATTATAACTGATACATGCTACTGTATAAAGGTTGTCTCAATTTTATTTTGACATCTGGATCTAAAATTACTTCACAAAGGTTTTTTTGTCTCTAATTATAGATAATCTGATCAATGAAACTTACATTTTTATTTTCTTCCTCTTCTTTTTGGCAGGAACTGAATGCACTGAAAAGCTCCTAGAAAAAGGTAACTCAAAGTGATTTTAGTATTATAACTGATCAATTTTTTTTGGACAGTTCTGACTGTTCTTTACAGTGTGTGTTGCAGAATTGAAAAAAAAAATTGAGCCAGGGAGTAGAGATAAGTTTTTGTTTGTAATTATAGATAATCTGATCAATGAAACTAATTAAATTAGACACTTAATCATACTGTTTTATTCATATTTAATTGCTATATTGCTGTTATTGTGTAAAAGTTGAAAAGAAACCATAGCCATTACATTTCTTGAAGGCCACATCTCACGATGATAAAATAGTTATAGTTAATTATTATTAGCATCATTGTTGTAAAATAAACTGCATAGATGTTTTAAATTAAATTAAATAGAATTTTGTGTTTTATTTGGTTTGGTGTCAGTCAACGCAACAGATCATAATTTTATAAATAATAATTAATACATATATTCTTGGTATAGTATTCTAGAAAGAGTTGATTTAACCGTTCAGATAGATGTTTCAGACTGTTGTTAACATTTATTGTGTTCTTGACATCAACCAAAATGGCAGAAACCAAGACTCATTCTGGGTGATCTGAACCTATTTCTTATTTTCTGTTACAGGTTCAGGGAGAGGAAGAGAAGGTGAGGATGAAGAACAAAACTCTGCTCCTACTAGTCTTAAGGACGCCACTGATAAGGAAGAGTCTGACACAGATCAACTTACTGGAGAAAATGTCAGAGAGCCTGATTCATCAGGCATTCATCAGGAAAGAAATGAATTATGTGACTCTGCCAAGGAGAAGCAGTCAACCACCATTCCTGAATAGAAAAGTCCAGAAACATCAGAACATGAGCACGATTCAAATTTGTTACAGGGAGAAACAGACACAGGAAAAGCAGGCTCAGGAACAGCTTTTTCATCCCATCAGCTGTCAGCCTGCTAAACTCTGCATCAAGGAGACCCCCCTTCCCCCTGAACTCCCACTGAACTGTCTTTCTTTCTGTGTTTTTCATATCTACCTATAGTGTATTCATATCTACCTATAGTGTAATAATATCTACCTATAGTGTATTAATATCTACCTATAGTGTATTCATATCTACCTATAGTGTAATCATATCTACCTATAGTGTAATCATATCATAATATATATATATAATATCTATAATAGTCAATCAAGTCTAAAAGTCTAATCAACTTCATAGCTGTATACATCTTAGTGTATTCACCTCACTCCGTTCATGCTGTTAAACTATTCATACTGTTAATATCTTGCTAGTATATTCATATATATCTATAATGTTATTTTGTTTTTACATATTTTTATACATATGCACATTACTCTGCACTTTACTGCTTTGCACTTGTGGTTAGATGCTTAACTGCATTCCGTTGCCCAGTACCTGTACTTGTGCAATGACAATAAAGTTGAATCTAATCTAATCTTATCTAATCTAATGTGGGTGAGTGTGAAGAGCAGTCAGACAGCAGCACAACTTAAAACCAGTGTCCACTCCTGTGGACAAAACGATAGTGTTTCCACCGCCTTGTTTCATTGATGTCAAGAGGAAGGGGTGTCCGACCCGGTGGCAGGCATTAAGAATATTTACTTAGAAATAGTCATCTTGCTAATATTCACTGATCAGCCACAACATTATGACCACTGCCAGCTGAAGTGAATAACACTGATTAACTGGTTAAAGTGGCAACTATCAGTGGGTGGGATATATTAGACAGCGAGTGAACATTTTGTCCTTTGTTTGAAAAATGGGCAGCGTGAGGATTCAGTACCTACCAAAGGTGGTCCAAGGAAGGAAAAGTGGTGAACTGGAAACAGGGTCATGGGCGGTCTGAGGCTCACTGATGCATGTGGGCAGCGAAGCCTGGCCCGTCCAACAGACGAGATACTGTAGATCAAATTACTGAAAAAGTTAATTCTGGTTCTGACAAAAACATTAAGACCACCAGGGTGCCCAGGTGATAGATCATCGGTGTAATTTGTTTATAGATCATACAGAGGTATCAGTATTAAACAAACAGTTGCAAAACCAGTTAAAATCTTGTACGTTTAAAGAATAATAATAATAGAATAATAATGTATTTTGGTTATACTTCTGATTCACAATTCATTTCGATGGACAGCTTGGTCACTGATGGGCAAATCTGCAACACACACACACACACAGTAATTGGGGGTGTGGTATAAGTCAATATTTTATGTCATTTAATCTGTTTGCTCTCTTTCACACACACGTGTGTGAAACTGACATTTTTTACTGTTTTGGTCCACAACGTTTTGGTAGGATATCTGAGTTTATTTATTATTTTCAAGTCAGAGTACCAGAAGTTAAACACTAATATTGTGTTTCTCATGCTATGACCTTTGATCTTACACTAAGGTGTAATACAACTTATAACACACTAATATAAGCTTAGCTTAATGCAGGTCAGTGACTAATGATTATTTTCATGACTTGTTCATCTACAGATTATTTTCTCAGTTAATCAATGAATAGAGACTTGCTAGCGTTGAGGCCTATGATCCTTTTCACAATCGCTGGACACAGGTAAACATACAAGAATAATATATTAATGTGGTGCTTTTGTGTAACTTAAAAGTTCCTTAAAGGTACATGTCTACTAGATGTGTAAACAAGTTAAAAGATCATTTATCATCATCATTTGTTTAGTCCTCAGACACCATAAACCCCCATTCAAAATGTCAGTTTTTCTCAAAACTGGGAATAATCAGGAATACATTTTGTGAACTATTGTTGCTCTAACTAGGTACCAGGTGCTAATTCTACAGGGAATGTGATGGGCTGAAAGGTGAGAGGGTGATGACTGCACTACTGTCCTGAAGAGTGACGTCATGGAATAAAAAATGGCATTAAAGTGTTATTTGGAAGTTGCCGTTATGAAATAAAAGACTTTTAAAAAAGGGCAAATGGATCTATGTGATTGGTGG